AGACTTCATTAGAAAAAGACTACTGAAAGTTTTTGTGGGTTAGAAAAAGTAATTTTGTCTAAATTCAAAAATTTGGTAAGTATCAAAATAGCAATAAAGAGAATGAAACTTATGTAATGGTGTAAAATTATATAATATATCTATATATACAGATTTTAATAAAGTATATCTTGTCCTAAAGTAAAGGATTGTCCAATTTAAAATTTAAAAGGAGAGGGTTTAAGGGCAGACCAAGAGGGTCAATAAGAGTTTCAAAAGTAAGTAATAGTCTTAAGATACAACACACCACACAATAATAAAGATGGACTTCTAAAGTTTATTGTGTAATAAGTGGTTGTGATTAAAGGTTATTTTATACGATTTTCTAAGTTAAAGTTTTCCACTCATAAACTGTTGCCAATTCTGGATCTATCTACTTATTTACAGTTTCTGTTCCATTCCACAGTTACTACTGTAGTCCAAGCTCTGTCCAAGCTCTAATGATTTCAGTAATGGGGGACTACCTTATCCTGTCATACTCTGCCACTTTCTGTCTACTCTTGTTTACTGGACTGCTGCACAGAGACCACTTCAAAGACAATTGACAATATCACTTTCCATATTGGTACAAAAATACTGTTGCTTATCTTGCAAGTTTCACAGAAGCCAAAAGGGCACTTGTCTGTTTAAGGAAAGCAGTTCAGGGCCTGCTGTGTTAACATTATTTTCAACATGATCCTCCACTCCAACTCACAATAAACTGTAGCCATATCAAACCATGGGGTAACTGTTAAACACGCAGCGACTGTTACTGTTATACTTTAGCCCATTTTTGAGAATCCCTAATCTCTGGACTCTTCCCACTTAGCGAAGTGGATCTTCAAGATCTACGTCACTTTTGTGGGTGGCAACCTTTCTGATTCATAACGGCTGGCTGACCTAGGTCTGCCTTCTTGAATGGTTTTCATTGTGTCTCAGATACCTTCAAAGCCAGCACTTAGCATGGCTAAGGGCTATGACTCTTTGTGGGCAGGAACAAACTTTGTTTGCTATCCCCAGAGCTTAGCACTGAACTTGCACTGGCAGTCACTACAGTACAAATTTTGGTTCAATTATGGGGTGTGTGACTTACTGATTCCTGAGAAAAATAAGATCCGCATTTTTCTGCTCACTCCTTCCCTGTCTCCATCTACATTTGGTCTCAGAAAAACTTCTTTTTTCTGCCACAGCTATAAGACTATTCATGACCTCAATGAACCCCTCCTCCTCAATTTGCTCACTCCTCTTTGAGGCAGCACTATTGTTATCCTTTGTATATTGCTTTTAACCTCTAGCAAACCCTCCCCATATCCGCTGTATGATTATCCAAGCCATTACACATCCATCATTTCGTGGCCAACATTTAGAGAGTTGGTGACCCTCATCAACTGTCCTCCTTCTCCACTCCCTCTTCAGTTTACTATAATCAATCACAGCCCTCCTACTCCCTTAATCTGTTGTCCCCAAGGCGCCAAATTCCTTAGTGAACTTCAAAGCACCCACCCACAATGTAAAGTTAGCTTAGCTGGTTTTGGTTTCCATGACAGCCTCTCTAATTCTTCCATTTATCCAAGAAATTTCCACTCTACCTCTCTTATATTTTTTTTCCTCCGTAGACCTTCTGCCAGTGTTGGGGCTGCGGCTAGCTGCTTTCTAGACAGCCTCACCAAACACACCACACAGCACCTCCAGCATGGCCATGCTTTCCTCTCACAATGCACACTGACACACACCCACATGCTATCAGCCAATTCTCTACCACTTGCCACTCAGCATACTTCTTCCTCTCATGTAACCTTCACTCTGTCTATTTTCACTTTTGTTCTTTTCCCTCTCTCATAGCGTCTGTGTCAAATGATATCTGTCATACTTGCAACAGAACCATTATTATACATAAAGGGGCCTTTGCTGGGCTGGAGACCTGGCTCAGATGGTAAAGTGCTGCCTAGGAAAGCACGAGGCCCTGAGTTCAAACCCAAGTATGGACATAAAAAAACTTCACCTTTTCTGGGACCCAACTGTAGTGGCACATGTCTCTGGGAGACAGCTTCCCTTTTGCTCATACATTGGAAATAGTCAGGCTTATAACACTAAGGACTCCCCAAATCTATCACAGCCATTCAGACGCTTCTCAGTCACAGGAAGCCTCAATACTGGCTCCAGGCCAGGTAATCATACATGACCCATTCACAAAGCAGGGAGCCACGCACCTGGCCTGTGCAAGGTACCAGGCATTTGCATCGAGTGGTAGCAACGTTCCAATCTGGATTGTGGCTCTGAAAAATCAGCCAGCAGAGCCAGTGCAGCTAGGCCTTTACCCTGGTGCAGCTCTCCAGTTCATGAGGTGCTCAAGTACGGTGGGGTTTTCTCTGTTTCTCTGAGGTGCTGGCATCTGTAAGGTTGCCCAAGTCGGTTGGAGCTGGATCTTCTGGTCACCTTGGGGTTCCATGTCTCTCTTGCCAGGCCTACTGACCTTGGTGACCTCATTCTCTCAGCTCAATAGCCGCTGAGATCCTGAAAGAGAATAAACATTGTATGGAGGAAGGCACCATGGACTAGCCTTGCTCATGCTCTGCACACTGTTTTGTTACTCCTATGGCAGGCCTGGGTGGAAGTAATATCCTTGAGAGTAGGAAACAGAGAGGAGCGCAGGCATGCTGATTCTTGGATCACTGAAAAAGGCACTGTAATGTGCTAATAAGCTCTGATTAATTTTGCCACATCTAAATCCAGCAATGAGGGAGTGTCTTTCCTAGGTGTCCCTCAGCAAGCAAACATTTGAGGTTCTTCCCTAACTCACATTATCACTGCACTGTAACTTTCAAAGCCATGGAGTGGGGGGTACATGGAAAAGAGAAGCTGATAGGTGATCTTACACTCCCAACTCTCATAAACATCCCCACTGATTCCCCAGGTGTGCAGGCACTGCCTCATAGGCAGACCATCTCAAGCAGGTACAAAAATAGAGTCAGGTATTGTGGGTGCATGAGGCAGTATTCCAGCATTCAATTCTGACTCACCCTGAACTCAACTTTCCAGCATCATCAGTCTGCCTCCAACAGTGATAGAGATGACCCTAAGACAAAAGCAAACTACAACTAACACTATCCTTGACACTATTTGTGGCAGTTAGAGTCTCCCACTTCAAGCTGAAATAACAAGGGGGGAGTGGGGCCATGCTTTTCATGGACTATGCCTAAAAGCAATGTATTCTTCAGTCTTGGTGAGGAGAAACTAAAATTTCCCAGCAGGGACAGGAAACACAATAGCCATCACTAGCTCCAAATGCAGAAGTATGTGAAATATGGAGGTTGTCTAAAAGCTGGTAAACAGAGCCAAGATTTAACAAAAGAACAATTTGGGCCACTGCAACATAGGGAAAAATGAATACATAAGCTTATTCATCTTAACTTTGGAGCAGGGCACTAGGATTTTAAGGACCTAAATGACCTAAATGACCCCATTTAGGTCATGAAAAGGAAATATTGATCAACAACTCACAGAAAGCTTGCTGAGCATTTAACATCCTAAGGGGCTATTTCTCTGTTACTCTGTCTAGGTTCTGATTGAACTGCTCAAAAGTTGAAAGGTAGTAGAGATAGGTAAATAATACTGAGTGGCCACCAATGAAGCCTTGGATTTGGGATCTAGTGGACTCTGAATTGTCCTTCTTGTTGTAACTGGATCAAATCCAGTAGCCTAATGCAACCACTGCAAATCTTGACACAAACACACCTCTATGCAGAAGAAAATGTTCTTTCTAATCTTAAGCTACCTCCATTTAGATTCCGGCACACTTAACAAATTGTCCTCAGTGGGTAAAGTACCTAAAATTCACCTGCTTCTCATGCATAAAGATAATAAAACCCACACTTGCAGTATAACAAAGAGGAAACACAGCATATTTTAGATGTAAAGTCTATACAAAAGTTAAGTGGGAAGGAGATGAGATCGTGTCTTATCAAATGAAATCAGGCCAATAAAACTGGTTACAGGGGAGAGAGGGTAGCTTAAGTATTCTCAACAGTTTTGATTGAAGGAACTATTGCTCAGGAAGCTGATCCATTTAGCTTGAAGGTTTTATAAAACCAAGCTTTGACATTTATACAGTATTTTGTGCCAAGAAATGCTCAATGCTTTACAGATACAAATCCGTTTAACCTTATAACAACCCTGTATGATAGGAGCTACTACTATTACCCTCTTCTCCATGTAAGAAAAGTGAAGCACAAAGGAATGAAGTAATAAATAAGCAAGAGCTAGTGAACACCTAGGATTTGAACCCAAGCACCAGAGTCCATGCTCTCAACCCTTTAGACTATATTACTTTCCCTGTAAATGTGATGGATCAGAACAAGTTAGCATAGGGCGGAAGTGAATACAGGTTTTCAAACAATGGAAACGGCTTTGTAGCCTAACAAAGGCCCCAGTGCTGGCAGGATGCCACCACACGCCACCCTGCTCGCTCATAACCTCTCTGGGACTAGCTCCTATACTGAGCCCCGAGCGCAGACCAGGTCAGCCCTAGGCACAATCGTGCTTGGAGGACCCTTGGCGACCCGCAGCCCCCACCCTTCCAAGCGCTGGTCTGAAGACTTCGGGCCGCAGAAAGTCGACACTAGACTCCCTACGAACAAAGCCCTTCGGCTTCTCGCGGGCACCGGCGCTGCCGGGGCTTCCAGCCTCTCCACGCGTGGCCCCCTACGCGGGTTGGCCAGCGGCAAGATCACGCTATGGGGGAAGGGAGCTCAAGCACGGTGCCCGGAGGGCGGGCTCAGAGGAGAAACCCGGCCATTTGTGATCCTCGCGCGCCACCTGGCGGCTGTAGCCGAGACGGCCTCAGGAGAAGCCCGACGGAGGCCGAGCTCCGCTGAACAGCCATTTTCCCCTTCTGAAAGTCGCATTTCCCGGCGGGCATCGCGGCCCGAGCTACTGCTGCGTAAATGGCGGCGCGCGCAGGCGTGCTCACGCTAGGCGCCGGTCTAGGCGCCGACTCTAGTGGCCGCGCGGGCAGACGCACATGTGCGCAGGCGCATGCGCCGGCGCAGTTTCACCAAGGCGCAGGCGCGCATGGCTCGGTTAAGATTGCATTGGGTTTGACACGTGCAGGCGCACAAAGTCTGCGTCTGCAACTCAGGTCCCTGCAAGCTTGGGGTCCGCCCTTCCTCGCCTTTACAACCTGTCATAGTTCCCAGAGAGGTTGTGAACGCACTGGAGCAGGGATTGTCAACCTTAGTAATATTAACATTTTGGGCTGGATAATGATGTGTGTTGTGGGATCAGGTGCTGTCCTGTGTACTTTAGGATGCTTAATATCCCTGGTCTCTACCCTTTAGAAGCCAGAAGTACCTCCCACTCTCAGTTGTGGAAACCAAAAATGTCTCCAGATGTTACTAGATGTCTCCTGGTCCAGGAAGAGAGCGTTAAGACTAGAAGATGCTTCTGGTTCAAAATCTCTACCCTAGCAACAATGGTTCTCCACCTAAGACTGGAAAAGAGAAGAAACTGAAGAGTTCAAAACAATTTGCTTTCAGCAACTCCAGTCAGAATACTTCTAAAAGACCCTAGACCCTTCTTCCCAAGGCACCCCCATTATCCTCTCAAGCCAGAGGCCCAAAGAGAACTCCAGCCCCTCATTACTAAATGTTTTATCACCTGGCCTGATACATCCTGTGATTCCCCCTGTAACCCCCGCATCCTGGCAGTTAAAAAAAAAAAACAGGTGACTCTGTACAAGATCTCAGGGCCATCAATGAGGCAGTTCATCCTATCTATCCAATTGTCCCTAACACCATATACTCTAAATCCACACAGCAGTTTCCTGTTTAATAGTCCTAGATTTAAAGCATGTCTTCTTTTGCATTCCTGTACACCAAGATTCCCAATTCTTATTTGCCTTTGGAGAGACCCTGATACTCAGATTGCCCAGCAGCTAACCTTACAGTCCTGCTCCAGGGATTTTGGTACAGCCCTCATTTGTTAGGTCATGCCTTAGCAAAGGATCCTTCCCTTATTTGTCTCCCCTATGTCAATGATCTCCTTATCTGTAGCCCTAAAAAAGAGCCTTTGATTTAAATGCCATCTGTGTACTACAGATATTGCTACATGTGGATATAAAGTTTCCTCTGCTAACACCCTGATTTCCCTAAAGAAGAACAGTTTCTGGGACAGATTCTGACCGTGGGATGCAATATCTGATTGATAAGCACAGGGATTTATTTGTAAATTGTAAATTGTTGGTACCCCACCAACGTTATTCTCCTTCTTGGGAATGGCGGAGTATTGTCACATCTGGATCCCCCAGTTTGAGCTTATAAGCCAAAGCTCTAAGAAGCTTTATGAGGTTCTGAAGAGGAGTCTCTGTCTCTACATTTGGCCTTGGAAATTGGCCAAGCCCTACAGGCCTTAAAACAAGTCCGTACTACTGCCCCCCATACATACACATACACTCTTGCCTGCCTGACCTGAGAAAACCCTTTTCCATATATGTTCATGAGAGAAGGGGGGTAGCCTCGAGAGTCCTTACTCAACCACTAATTACCATGTAGTATACCTGTCAAAAGGACTAGATCCAGTAGTTCAAGGATGGCCCCATGCCTTAGGGCATTGGCCTGGGTAGTTCCTTTGGTAGAGAGGCTTCTAAGTTGACACTGGGGCAAGGGATGATGATATGCACTCCCATCAAGTGAGAGATATTTTAAACTTTAGCACTGGATATCTGATTGCCTATTCAAAGTAACAAGCTCTCCTTTTAGGACCCCTGGCCTCCAGATTTGGCCTTGTCAAGTCCTAAACCTGCTACATTACTGCTGACCCAAACTCTGACCCCACCTCTAACACTCTTCTCTGGAAGTTACTGATCTCACCTGTACCGCCAGGCCAGACCTCCAGGACATCCCCTTTCCTAATGCTGACACCACCTAATTCACAGATGTTAGCAAGCTTATGATAGATGGGAGACTGGTTTTCAGGTTATGTAATTGTCAGCCTGTCAGAGGTCACTGAATCTGCCCCCTGCTAGGTGATTCTACTTCAGTCCAAAAGGCAAAAATGATTGCACTTATTTCTGGCTCTTCAATTAGGGCAAATAAAACAGTCAAATTTATATACTGACCATGCCTATGCCTTTTATGTAGTGCATGCACACACAGCCGTGTGGAAGGAAAGAGGACTTTTAACAGCCCAAAACACCCCAATCAGACATGCCGCTGAGATTTTAAACTTTTACTAGATGCCATCAAACTCCCAATGTGGATAGCTATAATTTATTGCAGGGCCCACCAGAAAGCCACAGACCAGGTAGCTTTGGGTAACAACTGGGCTGACAAACATGTCAAGGAGGCAGCCTGACTACCTCCAGGCAGCCCTACTTCCTCATCCCTCTCTACCCTCTTCTCAATATACCTACAGGGAAACAGGAGGCCATGGCTAAAAGATTCTCACATACATTACATGGATCAGACCACCATCTCCCCCGGCGTTGATCTCCCAATGGAAGGTTTTTATCAGGCCTACATCAGTTTTCCCATCTTGGAGCCAATACCCTATATGACCTTTTAAAATATGCTTTCACGGAGGAAGGGATGCTCCAGACTCTGAGGCCCATCTCTCCAGCCTGTCCTGTCTGTTGTAGCACTAACTCTGAGGGAGCACAAAAACCCCCACCTCTCCTCCAACCTATTCAGAAGTGAGGGAACTTATCAGGGGTAGATTGGGAACTAGACTTCACCCATATGCCCCCTTGTAAGGGCCTCAAATACCTGCTTGTCTTTGTGGATACTTTCACAGGATGGTTAGAGGCTTTTCCTCCCCAGAACAGAAAAAGCTTCAGAGGTGATTACTGCTCCCACTGAACACATAATACCCTGTTTTGGACTCTCTGTATCTCTACAATCAGATAATGGCCCTGCCTTTTTCTCACAGGTTACTCAGGGAGTTTGTCAGGCCTTCAAATTAAATTCTACCTACATATTGCCTGGCATTCCCGATCTTTAGGAAAAGTGGAAAGAGCTAACCATACCCTAAAAAGATACATAAGTCAATTAATGTAGGAGATTCAACAATACTGGCTCATCCTGATCCCAATAGTACTTCTTAGAGCCTAATCACCCCAAAGACGAAAATCCACCTTAGTCTTTTGGAAGTATTATATGGCAGGCCATTCCTTCAGACAGATCTCTCACAGGACCCCAAAGCCCACTATTTTACTCAGTATGTCATGTCCCAAGGAAAAACCATCATAGCTGTCCATGAGAACAACATGCTAACCACCCCAAATCAGGCCCAACAGAAATGTTCCAAGGAGACTTATCCCTTGGGCCTGGAGATTGAGTGTGTCTTAAAACTCTTCTCCAAGATAAGGAGTTCTTGAAGCCTATCTGAACAGGACCTATGAAGTACTTCTAACCACTCCTACAGCAGTTAAACTTTCCAGGGTATTTCTCCTGGATTCATATCTCCAGGATCAAGACAGCAATCCCACCCAAAGACTTACTGACTTCCAGTTGTGGCTGTGAACCCACAGGAGATTTCCATCTGTTGTTTTAGCACACTCCAGGTGATAATAATTCTGCTCCATAACCTTGTATGGACCCTGTCTGACGGTATCATCTCATTTATTCCATTATTCTCCAGGAACGTCCTCACTGGCCCCCTGCTGATCTCTCTGAATCTCAAATGCATGACCTTATCCTAGATCTTTTTCTACAGAGTGACTTCTTTGACTTCCCCGGGCACGAAATCCTCCTCCTCCTCCAGCCAGAGGTTCCTTCCATTTTTCTACAGCCACACTTTAGGAAACTCCCTCTACCTCACTGCCTCACCACAAATGGGCTCCCAGTCTTGTACTTCTCCTCATGTGGATTATTTGGCTATTTCTATGCGTCCCTCAGTCTCATCTCCCAAACTCTACTATAAAATGCTACTTTTTACTATAATCTCTTTTTCTCTCATACAAAAACCACAGACTGTCTTTATCTTTATCCCCTTTATTTGGGGGCTGTAAGGGATGCACAGATTGTTATTGCTGTATTATTCATACACCATATGAACTCGTCATATTCCATCAACTGTTAGCTGTGTGCAAATACCTCCCCTCAAGGTTCTGGAAAGGTGTACCCTGCTAATCCTTATGAGTGGGCAATCTCCAGAGCAAAACTGTCCTTTGTCTATCACTGGGGCCCTCTGCTGATCAGCTCCCTACTGAAATTACACACTACCTCAGTCAAGTTAAACAAGCCTTTTCTGCTTACTTACAGGAAATTCCCCCTATCTTAGGCCCTCTAAATAGAATTTATGGGTCAAGCTCCAATCTGCATCAAGGCTGAATGCCCATGTGAGACTCAGGTGAGAACCCTACCCAATAATCTTTGTACTGTGACTGTAACTATTGAAGATAGACATTGAAATTCCTTCACCCATACCGCCAGGTCTTCCGGCCATGTCAGGTTCTCTTCTACTCCTGAGATATTTCTCCACTCACAGACTTACCCAATTTCTCAGTTCTGTCTAGATCACCCTGCAGGATGCATGTCAAGCTACTACTATCTCCCAAATGACAAGGACACTTGCATACAAGTGTCTACCTCAGGGGACTCGTCCCCCTTTCTTTGGACCCCCTGGGTAGATCAAAGAGGGCCATGCTTTTCTGGGAAAATAGAACTACTCCCCCATTCACCCTCAAGCTCCATGTTAGCCCCCTTGGCTGCTGCCACATTGACAACTGAATACCAGGAAGCTCTACAGGATATTAATCTTTCTTTGGTACAAAACTCACTTCCTTCTGTATACATTCCTGCATACAACAAAATGAACTATACTGTCTATGTAGACAGCAAACACTTGACTTCCAACTTGACAGGAACATGTACTCCCACATATCTACCACCTGCCATTTCCATAAGCCCAGGAAAAATTCAGATGCTCCTCTCTATGTATGAACCTCTTCATACACAACCTCTTAAAAACAAAATGGCCATTCAACTCATACCACTCCTAATAGGCTTAGGCATTACATCAGGAATAGGGGCCAGAATTGAAGGAATTATCTCCTCTTACCTGGTTTACAAAAACCTGTCACTTAAGATAGCCAATGCTTTAAATATCCTAACCTAAACTCATGTACAAAAAAAATTCAATTTGGTGGCAGTTGTTCTACAAAACAGGAGGGACTTAGATATACTTACTGCCACCCAAGGGGAAACTTGTGCTGCTTTGGGGAAGACTGTTGCTTTTTGGTTAACAGATTAGAAAAAGTTCAAATTAATATTCATAAACAAGCCTGTCAACTTAAAGAATGAGCCACCCAAGGATGGTTGTCATGGGAGAATACCTAGTCAAGATTATCCTGGCTTCTCTTCTTCTTGGGACTTCTATTATCTAGTTTACTCCTTGCTTTATTAATGTTCTAACCAGATTTGTGTCTTCTTGTCTCCAGGCCATAAAGTTGGAAGTGATGCTACAATGTGGGTTCCATCCCTACTGCTTGACCCTCCAGTGCCTCTTAGTCCCCTGCAGCAATTTTCCATACAATTTTATTCCAGTATTCAGTTAGATCCCAACATACTCCCACAGACTGCTCCATAATCCTCTCTCAGAACAACAAATTCATAGGCAGGGAACTACCACCCTACCCAGCATGAAGCAATTACAAGATGAGACATTCGCCCCACTAAAACCAGGATTGGTTTTGTCGTTCTGCAAGACAGGAATGTGAAAAAGGCCCCCATTTTAAGGAGACATGGCAGACAAAGGAATACCAAGGAACAGATGGAGTGGAACAGGCCCGCTTTGGCGGGGGTGGGGGGGGGGCGGGGAAGGGGGGAGGGCAGTAAATAGAATGCGGAAGTAAAAACCAAGCTTTCAGCAATGTTCCTGTGCACACAAAATTCAAACCATGACTCAAGGAAGAGACAACCAATCAGTAAGGTCCACAAAAAAAAGTGAGGTAGCTAATCAAAAGTGGCCCAACCTGAGGTGTAAAACCTACTCTGAACCCTATCTCAGCACAAAGGCACAAATGGCACACTACATTCCTTTGGCTAGCCTGCCCGCCATTTTGTCCCCCTTTTAATGGTGTCCTCATAAATCTTTGCTTTCTCCTACTCTCTGTCTCTGTAAATTCTTTTACCAATCCACCTCCCAAAATCCATAACAAGAATCACCCTAGAAAAATTAAGTCCAAATCTCTCCATGGAGCTCAGGAAGTGTTTTGTTTTTAATACTTCCCAGGTGAGTCTCAAGTGCAGGCAGAGTTGTGAAACACTGTCATCAAGAAAATTTGCATTGATTTTGCAAAATCTTAAACATCAGAGGAAAGTACTTCAAAGCCTAGGCTCTAGAGTTGGCCAGATCTGGACTTTAAGTCTAGCTGTGCTCCTCCCAGGAGGGTATCCCTCAGTTTTCTCCACTGTCAAGTTGCATAATCAAACCCTTTCTGGATTTAGGGGAAGATTGGAGGAGACCATACACACAAATGTGCTTCATACACCAACCACCTAGAAGTTAATGGTCTGGGTCTTGAGAATAGGCTCCAATAAACAAATCCTGCTTTTTGTAGTTTCTCCTGAGGTTGTTCTTTGAGTTTCTTGTTTGGGACTCAGCTCTGCCACTTGGAAGGCTTTGGATAAGTCACTTAACCTTTCTATGTTTGTTTCCCCCATCTTATCCCTCTCAGCATTGCTGGGAAGACTATAAAAGGAGTAAGCAGAGCATACTATAACTGTCAGCTATTGTTTTCACTCTGAGTGTTAATTGCCAGTGCAATGCAAAATGGAAAAATAAAAGGCCTGTTTCTCAAGTGATCCATTGCCCACTCCACCCCCAGCATCTGTTTTAAGTAAAAAAGCAACTGCAGTGTGATGTGAAAATGCAAACATGCATTCACTTTTAAATACCTAAATCATAACAGGCTCCTATTTGGCTTCAAACTTGAAATAAGACCCAGTATCATTATTATGGCTGACCAAGGCCCTGCTCCACTTGGGGTTCCCCTCACTGGTTAAGCTCCAGCCATTCTATGCTTTGGAACATGCTAAGCACTTTCCCACTCGAGCGTTATTAGGTTTGTAGCTTCTTAGTTGCAACTCTGTGTCTCCCCACTCTTTCTAGAGTTGATTCCTTCTCTTTACTCACCTGCATTGCCCAGTCCCTCAACCCATCTAAGTAGAGGCTTTCCTCACCATCTCTATCTCAGTCAAGCCTTTTCTCTTCATTCTACTTAAGCATAAAACCTGGGGAGATTGGGGAGTGCTGTATGAGACACTGTGAATAAAGGGATGTGCACACAACAGGTGCTCCAAAGTTAAGCTGCTACTGTAATCGTTAACAATATCATGGAACAAAAGGCCAAAAACCTACTTCGACAAGCCTCTCTTCCATCGTTCCCTCCTGCAAGGACCCTCACCGCTGGCCACACACAGCTACATACAGTGCCTAAGGAAACACCAGGTTCTTTCAGCCCTTTGTATATCCCATTCCCACTGTTTGGAGGACTCTTATTCACATTTTGTGATATAACTAAAAAACTACTTCCCCACTAAGCTGTACCAAGTCCCCCTTCCCCTACTGTGGCACTGATGTGTTGCTCATATCTTTTTTTTTTTTTGCTGTACTGGGGCTTGAACTCAGTTCCTACACCTTGAGCCACTCTACCAGCCCTTTTTTGTGAGGGTTTTTTCAAGATAGGGTCTCACAAACTGTTTGCCTGGACTGGCTTCGAACCTCCATCCTCCTGATCTCTGCCTCCTGAGTAGCTAGGATTACAGGCGTGAGCCACTGGCACCTGGCTTGCTCAAATCTTGGCCAGGCTTTGTCCATCCCTCACCATGAGAGTTCTTTGAAAGCAGAGGCACTTCTGATTTGTCTCTGGGCTCCAGCCTCCAGCAAAAGCCAATCAGCCCCAGTGGTTGCTGACTGAGAGAAGGTGACACTTCTTGATTATGGAGTCCTTCCTAGATTTAGTGGAAAGTTCCTGCCCTCACAGGCAGAGGCCAGAGGGTTCCAGCTGGGATTTCTGCCTTTGTCATGTGGCTGAGGCCAGCTCACAGTCCTGGCTAACCTCATCCTCTTAGCCAAAGACTGAGGCACACCCAACCTGCCTCTCTCTGTGCCAGATGCTCAGCACTATCTGCTAATGTCTTACCCCTTGGAGTCTGCCTTTGTATCTTCCAGGTCTGCACTGTCATTCTTCCTATCAGCCAGCGAGGCAGAGGCCAAAGTAGTACTGGAGCTGAGGGAAGGAAGCACACAGGACTGCTGTGTCTAAGATCAAAGGAGGCTGGGGGCCCAGGTCTTCCCCTTTGCCAGATTTTTTTCTCAAGGAAAAATGGGAACTGTGTCTGCCAATAAATGATGGCCTCTGAGTTGTGCCCCTGGAGCCGATTGTCCTTCCTAGCTATGTGCTCCCTTGGACTGAGCCCTCTAGTGCTTACTGGCTGTTCCTGGGATTTCTCTCCCTGACACTTGCTTGCTGGGCCAGACTGCAGTCCTTACAGGAGAGATTCAACTGAGACCTCCTAGGAGACTCTGTTCCCATGCTTGGCCTCCCAAAATCCTCTCTTCTGCTGGTCCCCACTGCCACCTCAGATTGGGTCCACGTGGATGGGTGCTGAAATGCCTTGGGTCCAACAGACTTATCACCTGTCCCTCTTCTCCTGTTGCCCCCAGTGGGTAGGTACACCTCCAGCTCAGGCCCCTCCCAGGTTTCCCTGCCCTGCTATGACCACCTGATATGAAGATATCATGGACCTGAGAAATGTGGGGGAATTCTGGGGCACTGGAGCTGAGAATGAGTCCTGGCAATGGAATTGGTCACTGGGCCAGTTGCCACACCCTTACCTGATGGCCACTGGTCCAAGCTTGCAGGAGTGAGAGTTGGCACCATATACATCTTGATCATCCAGGAAAGGGGTGAAGCTGGCAGCTGAGCCCAACCTGTGGAAGGAGGCTAAGCCTAGTCCAAGTTCAGGACTTTGTGACTGTATGTCTATCCTCTCCTGAGACAGTGGCTTCTGTCCCTAACAGATGGGAAATGAGAAGCTGCTCAAATGAACACTTGGGGAACAATACTCTCTTATATCCCAAGGCAGCCTGACACCTGGGGCAGTGGTTATATGCAGCTCCCTGGAGGCACATGTTGCCTGGATTCAAATCACAGCTTTGTTATCTCCTAGCTGTATGACCTTGGGTATATTACCTGACCTCTTTGGCCCACAGTTTTATTATCAGTGAACTAGGGCTACCTAAGAAGAGTAAATGGACTCATAGCTGTGTACTTCAAATAATGCCTGGACCATAACATATGCTAATATATTCCCTGTTTTACTGGGCCCTATGGCCCAGTCTCTTCACAGTTCATCTGTATTAACCCAGTTGATACAAATTTAGTCAGGTTCTCTTACCCAGGCTTCCTGGAGTTAAGCCACATCCTCTGTCTCTGCAAAATAGGCAGACTGATGCTCACAGGGCACCCCGTTTCCTGCACTAACCTGTGCCCTCCACTGGGATAACATATTCACTAAGATTTCCTCATGTTTCTTCCCAAGTCTGTTTATGTCAGTTGTGTAACCATAATCACTAAATTCAATTATTGAATAAACTCATGAAAATGAATGGAAAAGGAAAGTTGTTTTCATTAGAGCAGAAGCAAATATTTCATTTTTTGAAGGTGCATAAGCAGGAAGAATATTCAAATGAACATTCAAAGATGAATATTCAAAGATAAAACAACCAGACCCAGTCCCAATCACCTTGACCCAGAAATCTTCTACAGTAGCAATAGCAAATTGATTCAGCCTGTACCACTGAGAGGGCAGAAGAAAAGGCTATAGAGAGCCAAAGCCCCCACTGCTGTGTAGGACCCTGTGGGCTAGGGAGAGGGATCTGGAGTTTTTTTCAAAGAAAGTAGAGAGTCACTGGGAGGTTGAAGCAGGGAAGAAATGTGACCTAGTCTATTTTTAAGATCTTTCTGATGCCTCTTTAGACAGCAAAAAGATGCAGGCTGCTCAGCCAGAACTCTTAATACAGTCCTCCCCATTAGTGCCAGCTCAAAGATTTGAGTCCCTGGCCCAGTGGCCTTTCCTGGACCTGCTCAAAGACAGTGGTTTCAGAGGCAGGACCTATTGTCCCCTTCCCATGTTGATTTGTGCTTCTGGTTCTGGCTCCAGGCATCGATTGCAACTAGTAACATTAGTGAAGGAAAGGAGCCCCTGGTGGGCTTGGGGAAATCAGAGCAGCTGGGAAGGCCAGTCTGGAAAACAGCCAGCAGGGCCTCCTCCCGGCCAAGGATCCCTCCTAGCCAGGGGGCCCAGAGGTTAGTCTTGGTATCTTGCAGTTGCAGCTCTCAGTAGACACTAGTTGTGCTACTCCTGTTTCACATCTAATCTAAACTGAAGGACTCTAGCACAATTTGGAGCTGAACTATTTGTGCCGATATCTGTATACCTAGCCTTTGTCCCCAGGGATGCTTGGTTCTGAACCACTTAGAGGTAGGTGGGACCCTGCTACTCCTGAAATCATCTGATACGATGGCCCCTGACTTCATCCAGTTCCAGGAACCCAGAGCCCACATGGACATGCTTATCTCCTAGCTTTTCTCACTGAGGCTGCTGCTTTTCCTTTTGTTGACTCTCAGAGCAGAGCTATTCGGGGAAGGTGATGGGGCAACAAAGGAAGCTTTGGGGAAGGGGAAAAAGTAGGAGCAAAGGGCCTCCTAGCTAGCCCTCAGAGCTCAGTCAAGAAGTAAGGCACTAATTCGCTCATCATTTGGCCATTCATTCATTCATTCATTCATTATTTTGTCCCTTTTGCATTCTACAAGTTTTCATTCTACTCACCCAAGGCCAGCCCCAGTTGAGACATGGGCCTCCAGCTGAGAGTGGGGCCTTGTGCCTGCTCTGGAGGAGTTGAGAGCCAGTGATAGGGGTGGTGGAGAAGAAGGAACAAGATTGGACTAAAGTAAGTCCAAGAAGAAGTGGAAAGTACAATGGCAAAGGATATGGTGGGGCCCAGGAGCATAAGAAAAACAGTAGACAGGCACTCCAGGAAGTGACTGGTGTCCCACCCCCAGCAGTCCAAGCAGATTGGCAGCTTAAGCCTGGCCTGTCACCAGGGACATGAGAGAACCTGTCTCCCATAAGCACCTCACCCTGTTCTCTCTGAGCCAATGTCTGCTCCAGCTAAGCCTTCTGGTGGAGACCCTGTGGCTCCGGATTCCACGTTGCCATCACTCAACAGTGTAGTTGATCTGTTATGGGAAGAGAAGCATTTGTTGACTGTGAGCTTTGATCTTATCTAACCTAGATGTGTTGAGAGTAGGCCTCAAGGACCATGAGCCTTTGGTTGCCTCCCTGCATTGCTCTGATCACAGTCAAGCCAAGCCCACATGGACTCTAACAGCAAGTATTCTGTGTGTCTTTCCAACTTGATGGCCTAGCAGCAAAAGTGGAGGCAAGAAACAAAACAAGGTGGAAACTCAAGGGGAGGTGGGTACATTGGAGGTCAGTGGTCAATAGAGGAAAGGGCAAGGCATTTTGTGCTGCAAATAAGCCAAAGCGGGCAGAGATAAGGCTCTCCCATCCATCCAGGGCCCTCTTTCCTCATTTCCAGGGATCAGAGTCCTGACTAGGGTTCCAGAGCTCCACACTGAGAGGACAGGTCTGTGGATTCAAATCTATTACTGGCTACCAAATTCTCATGGAGGAAATTGGAATCTTCAGCCATTGCTCACTAGTCTGTTCTCCCCTGGTCTTGCTTGGAGGACTGTGGGGTGGTTGTACAAAGACTAGGTACCCAACCTCTCTGAACACTTCATCCCCCATCATGGCTCTGACCACACATCCTTGAACCTCTCCCCTACCCCAATGTATCTCTTTGCCCACAGGGAAAGTCCTTGCCAGATGTTCTATGGAGGTCTACACATTCTTTGGTCCTAGAGCATAATAAATGTGGCAGCTTCTGGTGAATGGAAGGAATTCAGTGAGGGCTGGGATAGCGGTAGCCTGGCCTGGAGTTTGATCCTGTTTTGCAGCTGGCTACCTTGGGATCTTAGCAAGAGCCTGCCCCTCTCCAAGCCTCATTCATTCATTCATTCATTCTTTTTTTTTTAGACAGAGTCTCACTGTGTGTCTCAGGCTGGCCTTGAATTTGTGACCTTCCTGCCTCTGCCTTCCAAGTGTTAAGATAACTAGGCACCACCACACCCAGTCTCATTCATTCTTTCAACATTCATTTGTTGAAGACCTGCACTATCCCATAGGACACAGCAGGAACAGTCTCATACAGTCCTGGTCCCAGCTCCTGAACTTAGAATAAGAGCCATGAAGGCCCTTCAGCTGAGTGCACATGGACTTCGTCTTCTGGGGATAAAGGTTCTTGCTCCCTTTACAGCATTACCTTTCAGAATCTGTGATGGGGCCCTTGAAGGTCTTCTCACCAGCGGAGTCTCTCTTGAGCTCTATGGAGCAGGGTACCTCCTTGTCTTTGTGGCCTGGGGAAGACCTGTTGAGGAAAGAAATGCAAGTTAACCACTCATTAGTCACCCCTACTCCAGTGGAGGCAGTTACCTCATCCTCAAATGCCAGATGTTTCCAAGGAACTTAAAATCTGCTACTGATTGATTGACCAGTTCACAAGACTTCCTTATCAATAGTTACTGTTAACTGGTTGCCAGGCCTTGTTTTGGTGAGTTTCTATCCATTAATTCTCCACATCAACCCCAGGACATGGGTAATGCCATTATCCATTCTCACTTTCCAAGTGAGCCACCTGACACCCAGAAGGCCTGAGTGACTTGCTCCAAGTTCCACAGGTAATAAAAAAAAAGAGCGAAAATGAAATAAATAAGCAAAAAGAAAAAAAAGCAGAGGAAGAGCTGGGATTTGAAACCAGGCAACCTGACTTCAGCGTTCCGGACTATATTCCTTTACAGCATAAGCCTGACCCAGACGTCATTACTCAACCCTTGCACTATACTCTTGGAGGTCATCAGGGAGCCAGCCCCATGTTGTCAAATCCAACAGAGACAGTCCCATCACTATCTCGGACTGCCATCAGTACTACTGACCCAGTGGGCCACTCCTTCCTAACTTTCCACCTCTCTTCCCTTGACCTTGTGACATCTTCTACCTCCCTGGCTAGATATTCCTGGTCTCCATCTTTTTCCTCCTTTTCTGCCCCTTAAATGTCAGTATTCCCAGTGCTGCTGCCTGTTTGCATACTTGGCCACCTCCTGGGCTACCTTTTCTCCTCTCCTGGTATCAACTGTCATCCTTGAGCTAGTAACTTCCAAATAGTCACCCAGGTATATTTGTGGAAGACAGCTTGGGAATGGGAGTAGGACATGGTGATAGACAGCTGAGTGAGTGATGGTAGAGGCTGGCACTCAGAAGAGGACAGTGGGAATGGAAGCACTGCTAAAATAAAATGGAAAGGAGAGTGTGTGGGGTTAGAGAGGCAGGGGACAAGAAGGAGAATAAGGGGACCTAGAGATCCCTTTCAATGCATCTTGGATTTCACTTCTTCAGGAAGCCTTCCCTGAGCTACCACTGCTCCAGTGATTGAGGGATTTTCTCCTATGTACACTCCTGCCTCCCTCCCCAGACTCTGGGCTTCACAAGGCAGGGACCCAGGCTTCCTCCTCAGATCTCTCCTAGTCCCCACCCCAGTTTCCCTTGGGCCCAGATTCCAGCCCTTCATCCTGCCTGCCTGTCACCTGGCTGTCTGCCTTCCTGCTTTCCCTAGGGCAAAGCTGGGCCCTTTGTGCTCCTTGCTCGTTGTGGCTCCTTTGTCTTCCTCCTCACCTGCACAGGGCACCATGGCATCAGGAGCTGTGGAGGCTCACCCAGGAACCCCACACAGTTCCTGGTGGCCCCCTCACACAAGTCAATTACCTCAGTGGCTTCAGTGTCCCCACCCAGCCCAACTGACAAGTCATGTTACTTCCTGGGGGCTTATAGCCCATGGTGTGGTCAGCATTGAAGACTGACCTTGTTCACGTCTGCATCTGCCTGCTTCATCAGAAACAGAGTCAGCAACTCTGGCCCAGGGGGCTGCAGTCACCCCTGGGTCTAGGACCAGGACTGTGGCCTCACAAGGACCAGGTGCTCATTTCATAATGATTGTGGAATGAAAGAATGAGCCAGGGACAGAGAACCCACAGAGGCAGAACTAGCCCCCCCAGGCCTCATCATTTGCACCCTGGCTCTCTGCCAGGACAGCAGCAGGGCCCCCATACCTCACGCCTTCAAGGTCTGGGGCCACCAGGCGGAGTCCTGCCCTGGGCGTCATGATCTGCAGGCGGACAATCTCCTCACCTCTGGAGCTGCAGGCCAAAGGAGAGACTGGAGAGCTGCAGGTGGAAAGAGTTTCCTGATCCCCCTCTGCGTTGGCATCTCTGGCTAGTGCAGTGGACACCCAGACCCATCAACCTCCTCCTTTTGTTTTTGCTCTCAACTGCTCTTTGGCCTTGAGCCTTCGTGGTGCTGCATGTGAAGGAGCCCTTTATCAGTCTTCCACCTCAGTCTAAACTGAGGACTCTCTCAGCCACAGCAGTGGGCCTTCTGAGTAGAAATAAGACCACAGCTGGCGTGGCAATAGGAAGCCCCAAAATGGACTTGAAGTGGAGATGGGGGATTGACACAATCAGGCTTTCCTTATGAAGACAGAGGGAAATTTGAGCACAGGTGCACTAGGGAGAAGGCCATGTGAAGACATAGGCAGAGACTGAAGGAGTGATACAGTCACAAGCCAAGGGGCAAGGCCAAGGCCAAGGCCAAGGACTGCCAGCAACAAAAGTTAAGAGAAAGACCTGGAACAGAATCCCCACAGCTTGCAGAAGCAATACGACCCTGGCAACACGTTGATCTCAGACTTCTGGCCTCCAGGACTGGGAGAAGGTAAAGTTTGGTTTCAAACCACCCAATTTCTGGTATCTTGTTACAGCAGCTCCAGCAAACAAACACAGGGGCCTTGCAGCCTCTTCTCCTCTTCAGCCCCACACCAATCCCATCACTTCCCTAGACCCTCAACCCCAGGGAGCTCTAGTCCAATTTGAAGTTTTCAGATGGGCTAAGAGCTTCTGGAGGCCAGGAACACTCTGGAAGGCTGCACACTCTTGAAGGCATTCCAACACAGAACCAGGAGTCTTCTGAAGCCCAAGCCTCAAAACTGCTTGATGAACATTCATTGTGGCCCCAGCCACCTGTAGGAATATGAGTGGCATTGAGCTTTGCCAAAGAATGCATGACTTGTTCTGTCAGAAGAGAAATGAGTTGGCTTCGAGGGGAGGGAGTGGCTTTTTTCACCTTCCTTTGCCGTATTTTCTCCAGATGCCAGTAGGCAGCAATATTGGTCTCTTCCTGCATTCAAAGAAGGGCCCTGCAGGTTGGCAAATCTATCAAAGACAGCATGCAATTGCCAGTGCCTAGGCATCGTGATCAGTATTTAAATACAGTATCCCACTTAGTATTTGAGATAGACTTGGGAGAGCAGCATTGCTGCTCTATTTTGCACACGAGGAAATCAAGGCACAGAGAAGTGAAGACACTTGTTCAAGGTCACACAGCCAATGTGAGGCAAAACAAGGTTATGTCCTGTGCCAGAAGCCATGCTCTTACTCACTGCTCCCCAGATACTCTGCTAGACAGCATGATGGGGTCACAGCCTAGGTCCAGGACCCAGGAGGCCCTGCTCTGATCTCATGAGACAGAGAACCAAAAAAAAAAAAAAAAAAAGCATGACCAGCACAGTGATGGTGGAAGCAGCTCAGTTTTCAGAGTGGGCAGAACTCATGAGGATGTGACCTTTGGACTGCAGCTAAGGCTGACAGGGCAGAGCAAGGGCTGGGGAGGACATAGCCATGGCATTCCCTTCCCCCACTCTGCTATAAACCTGCCTTGTCAGGACCCAGAATTTGGCTGAGTCACTGCTCCCCTCTGGTCGGGCTTTTCAGATGGCTAGGCAGACAGGAACTGGCCCAGTGCAGCACACGATCAGTGGAGTCAAAGAAGAATGCTCCTCAAATTAAGGACCAGCCAGTAGCTCATATGCAAGCAGTTGGAGTGGGTTTGAAATATTTTGTGACTGTAGAATTTGAGGGAGGACCTCTTCCAAGCATCAAGGTAAGCCTCCTATTGGGAGCTTGGGCCCATCTCCAGCTTTCCTGACCAGCTCCGATTACACTCTTATGATTAGGGGGACCTCCTTCCTTCTTGGTGGGGCTTCCCCATGTGCGACAGCTCTGGTGTCTAGAGCACTCCATAATCCAGCCCTGGCTCCATTTCCCAGGAAAGACAACTTTGCCTCTCAAATCCATAGTATAGCACAACTGAGTCTTCCACGTACAGTCTCTTACAAGGAATCTGAAACCATTCATCTCTTTTTTTAAGACGAAAAAGGAGAAATGAGAAGTGTATACTCTTAGAGGTTGACTTGTGTCCCTGAAAATCTATATGTTCAAATCCTGGCCCCCATGCCTCAGAATCCTATGTGAGTGCATTTGGAGATGGATTTTAGAGCAGAGTGAGGTCACTACAGTGACTTTAATCCAATGTAACTGGTATCCTCAGGAAGAAGAGGAGATTAGGACACAAGCACACATATAGGGAAGATCATGTGAGGACAACAAAGAACAAAATGGCCTTCAACAAGCCAAGGAGAGAGACCTTGGGAGAAACCAACTCTGCCCACATCTTGATCTTGGACTTCCAGTCTCCAGAGCTATGAGGAAACTTTCTGCTGTGTAGGCTGCCCAATCTGTAGCACTTGGCTATGTCAGCCTTAGTCCCATCAATCACCACGTGCACTAGATACTGCCTTGCAAAGAGCGCTGAAACTTTTCTTTTCAAGTCTTCTAAGGCCCTTACGGATGAACATTCTGATGAGAAGAGGCACACAGAAAGGGTCAAGGGGATGGGGGTCACATATGTACAAATGGTTGTGGAGCTCAAGTCGGGGGTTGGAATGGCATTTGGAGAGCTAGAACGGACACTAGGGGCACAGAGATGACACGTAGGGATAGACAATCTCCCTTTCTGGCATCAGGGGTTTTCCAGGATGCCATTGAGGTGCACACCTTAGAAGACCTGGGCTTGGACAAAGGCCAGGCAGGTGCTTTCAACAGCAGCAGCAACAGGACAGTGGTGCTCCCTGTAGAAGTTAGCCCATTCAGCACAAAGTAGGAGTACTGATTGCCCTTCTCTTGTCTCTCAAAGACAAGAGAGCATCATTATCTTCCTGGACACTCAGGGCTCAGAAATTAGGGCAAATCACAGCCCGCCTGGAGTGAGATCAGCAGTGCTCAGCCTGTCCCTGCCCTATCTCCCCACTGCCAGACCCTCCCTGGTTGTCAAGCTCAGCCATCTAGGCCAGTGGGAAACCACCTGACCGGCCCACAGGCCAGAGCCAGATCTTGGCACCCAGCTGGGCTCCTGGCTCCCAGAGGAGCTAGGCACACTCAACATGCACTTGATCTGAGTCGCCTGACACACTTTGATTCTGCCTCCATCCTCACTGGTAAAGAGGGCAGCTGTGAGCGGTGCTGGGGGCTGGAGGGCCTCCTTCCTAGGCAGGTTGAACTTATTCAGGTGTCCGTGAATAAGCTTAATAACAGCAGGCTACTGCTACAGAGGCTGGCCCTCTGAAACCATAAGGTTGGTACTTTTTCTTGGAGTATTGTGCCACTACGAGCTTCATCAATGCAAGGGTAAGGTGACACAGATAAGTACTAAACAGACAGGAGCCATGTGTTCTCTCCCAGGAGGCTGGACTGTTTTTCTCTTTTCAGCCCTGGGACATCTATCCAAATGAGCCCTTACTGATTTCTCACACCAGCCTGTCACTGGACACATGAGGACAGTGACCCTAAGGCTCAGCAGGGAGGTGGCATGACAGAGTGGCAGGCAGGCCTGGCAGCCACCACCTCCAGGCAGAGACAAGTGATTGATTACCTGCTCAAGCCAGGAGTGGGTCTTGCCAGATCAGGTGATACCTCGCTCCTCTCAGAAGGCCCGTCCTCATCCACCACCTCAACCCTGTGGGAAAGAGAAGAAGCGACACTTGCGGTCTTCTTGGCTTCCCTAGAGTTTAGTGGCCTTTGAAGGATGTGCTTTCAATGATAGCCAACTGGAGTGGCCATGAGGTGGCCTGGGCTGGGGGCCTCAGACACTCCAGCTCAGGATAAGGACAGCATACCAAGTTGAATAGTGTCCCCATAAAATTCATGTCTCCTGGAACTTGTGGCTCTGACCTCATCTGGAAATAGGGTCTTTGGAGATATAATCAGGGTTGGATGAGATCACACTGGATTAGGGTGGGACCTAGATCCAATGACTAATGTCCTTCTAAGACAAGGTAAATTTGGACACAGACACACAGAGCAAAGAAGGCCATGTGAAGACAGTAGTACCAAGGATTGTCAGCAACCACCAGAAGTTTGGAGGGCCCTGGGAGGTTTTCTCCCTCAGCAACTCCAGAAGGAATCAATCCTACCAACACCTTGACTTCAGACTTCTACCCTCTATAGGTGGGAGACAGTCCATTTCTGGTGTTTTAAGTCACCCAGTTTGTGGTATTGTTACAGCAGCCACAGGAACTTAATACAGCTCGTAAGAACACACTATTGTCTCTGTGTCACTTCCTTTGTGCTGCCACTACCCCCTGCTCACTGTATCCAGTCACCCTTTCTGGTCATTTGACACAGCAAGCTACTCCTAGCTCTGGGCCTTTGCACTGGCTGGTCCCTCTGCTTGGAACACTTGGCATGCTGGCTCCTCCTTGATTTTCAGTCCTCAGCTTGTTATGCCACTTTATCTTTAAGGCCTTCCCTGTCCACCCAACAGAGGTCCCAGAGACTCAAATAACCAGAAATTTCTTCACCACCATCTCTCCAATATTTTCTTCTCCCAGAAGAAGGTGACTTGTCTCAAATAATGACACCCTTCCCTCACTCAGCTAGTGTGACCTGGCATCCTGATCATTCTCTCTTTAACTGTTTATCCTTATAGGACCCATCTCCAACGCCATGGTCGCATCCCAAGGAATTTCTCTTGAGGGCTCTGATCCTGTTCCTAGGTGAGAACAAGGGGCAGGACAAGAGGCAAAAGGACTCTTGCTGGGGTCAAGGAGGATGCTTCTTGATGCTTCCTGGCTGATGGAGAGAGGGAATGAGGGCACCTCCAAAGGCTAGCCAGCCAGGGACTCCCACTGATAAGCCTCTGGACCAGCCTCTGGGAGTGGAAAAGAGGTCAGGGGAACAACTCCTTTGTAACTTGGCTGCTTCTTTTGCTTCCCATCCCCCAGAGGGTCTTGGAAATGGTACAGCTCCATCTTGGGTCAGGGGCTTGGCCCCGTTAGCCATTGGCCTTTCACAACTCCCCCTGCTCAGAGACAGCAGGCCCCCTTCCCTTCTCTCTACACCCCTGATGACGGGAAGCCTTCTCCATGGCCATTAAGAGGTTCCCAAGGCTTCCCTTGATGATTTTTACCTTTTTGCAACAAATGGGGTCTGCAACTCCTGTGTAGGACTGCTGGAAAGAAAGCAGAAAGGCGACGAGTCAGGTAAGGCCTATGGACAGGTGACACCTTTCCACTCTATCCCAGAGGGGCCTGGGCCTCTCTCCTGTTCTCAGTACCTTGCCTGCCCTGTTGGGGGCAGTTAGTTTTCTAGAAAGTGCACCCAAGAATCTAAGAAGGTCCAGTTAGCAGGGCCCTTGGGGATATGCTCTCAACACACTCTTTCACCAGGTAAAGGAGAGGGGAACTGTCCCGGAACATGCAGCCAGTAGGTGGCCAAGCCAGGCTCAGGCTCAGAGCCCAGGTTCTTGCCCTACCAAGCCTCCTTAATGTGCAGCTCACCCAGTGCTCTTCTTGGCTGCCGACAAGACATAGGAGTGTTCTCGTGGGGCTGTCTTCCTCAACACACTGCTTGCAGCCTCTGACCTGGGGAAGAATGGGGTGAGGGCATCTGCTGGGTGGACACACTTTACCAGCTTAGCCTAGGATGTCCTCAGGATGACTCAGGACCACCCCTGGGAGGGGAGGGGCAAAGAGCCAGAGTAGCATCTGCTGCAAGGACTATTCACAGGAAAAGTAATTAGGGAACCAGGGAAGAACAGCCGTGTTTATCAGGCATGCAGTATGTGCCTAGCCCTGCCCTGGACACTGACATCCCCACATTGGCTCACTGATCTTCCCAACCCAGGCAAGTAGGTGCTAATACACTCCATGATTCACTAAGCCTGGGGGTACTCCAGTGACTTGCCCAAGAGCACACGCCTAACAGATAGCAGAGCAGGCACTGAAAGCAAGGCAGCTCCAAAGCTCCTAGTTCGTTTACTTGCACTACCCAAGCTTCAGGGCCCAAGCCCCAGTAGACTCTTCTCTTAGGATTGCCAATCTTCCAAGGCCACAGCAAGGGGACTTAGTCTCCTGAGCCACAGATGAGTTGGCAGATGTTGGCCCAGTGCTGGGCCTCAGTGTGTGGCAAAGGTTATTTGAAATTCCAGAGCCCACTCCTGCCTCCCAAGTGTACAGGACCCTGGCAGGACCCTGCACACTCAACACACACATAGAGGGCACTGTACAACTAGCCTCTCTCAGGTCCCCTATCCTACATGTTTTTGTCCAGTTTTCTCAGGACGCCTTCTAACAAGCTGATATAAAGTCCTGAAGAACCTACAAGTGAGGCTTTTCCATGGACTTGCATTCCTTCCCATAGAAGGTTCTTAAGAAAGTCCCCTGAGCTGGACTGCCACTGAGCGAGTGGTTCTGAGACTCTCAGAGTGACATCTATTTCCACACCCCACAATGCTGTGCATTTTTTCACCCCAAATGGTATAACTCTTTTCAGCACTCTGTGAAGACTCAGGCCCCAGCCCTGACCACAGAGATGCCCATGGGGGGGCATCCTTACCTCCGTTTCTGCTCATCTGAAGAGAAGGGCACTTCTTCTTCCTCAGCCCCTGAAGTGGAGCTGCGCCTGATGTTGTAGGGTGCCCTGGGGGAGGGGAAGAGGCAGTTAAGACTCTTCTCCCCCCCTTCCTCTTGCTCTCTGTCATAGGCTGCCATCCTCAGCAGCTTGGCTTCCAATATCACCAGCACACATTGGTATTATAGCCTTTGGGCCTTAGCTCATGCCACTTTCTCATCCTTGAGAGCCAGCACTCCTCCCTCTTGTTCCCTGTCCCTCAAGACCCAGTTCAAGCTTTTACTGCTTCCCTGGAATGACCTGCTATCTAATCCATGACACTGGATCATGGGCACAAAGGACAAGCAATATAAAGATGCAGGGCCCTTGGGAACTGCAGGTACAATCCACACCTCAGAGCAGATCCCTTTTCCCTGGGTGGGGACTTTTGAAAGGAACCTCAAGTGGGAGCTGCAGAGGTACTCCAATGTCAGAAGTAAGTCAGATTTAGGTACAAGATGCCCATACTGACAGGCTATCAGGGTCAGCGGTAACCTGAGGATCTTCAGGCTTGCAGCCCAGTCCAGCCCAGTCCAGCCCAGACTGCTAGCCTGAAGCCCAGAGGGGTACAAGGCCATGTTCAAGAAAACAGCCAGCCAGCAGCATCCGTATGGTCATCATTTCTCTAGACCTATGCACTCCTAGAAGCTTCCTGTAGTCCCACTTTGCCTTAGATCAAAAGTGCACTGTGGCCAGGCATGTCCCACATGCCTGTAATCCCAGACTCAGGAGGCTGAGGCAGGAGGATCAAGAGTTCAAGGCCAGCCTGAGCTACATGATGAGACCCTGTCTCAAACAAACAAACAAAAGACCCCCAAACAACAAAAGTACACTGTGCACAGCCATTCAATTTTCTGGGGCTTTGTCATTTTCTGGTAGGTACCAGGCCACAGCTGCAACTAGCGGGGGATATCAAGCCCATGGCTAGCTCTCCCGTCTCTTGCTCAGAGGCAAGTGTCCAGCTGCCTTCAGCAGGCCCAGTGTCTGGGCTTATTGTTTGGGTCTGGAATTGCATACTCACAGCTTCTTGTAATCCTCAGTGGTCATCTTGTAGCCAGAGGAGGAGGGGCGGGGAGGGCCAAAGTTAGTTGCTCCCATCACACCAGCAGCACTGGAGAGGCAAGAAGCTCCCATGTGCCCAATCCACAGGCCCTCTCCTGCCTTCAGATTTGCTCACATAACCCAGCAGTCATGTGACAGATGACCCAGAAGGCACTGGTAGCCATTCCTCTTTGCTGTCAGCCCTGCTAGACTCCTTGAGGAGGGCAGCCTCTCCTGCCACAGGCAGACCCATCTGAGCCTCAGGAGAACATCCTGGTGGGCTCCAGGCTGTGTCTTCTTCCTGTCCCGTCCCCTTGGCCTTCCCTTTCTGATGGAGCTCCAGTTCCAATTGATGCCAAAGGGCTTGGATAATATGTCACCTGAGCCTCCTAGGAAGACGGTGTACTAAAGCACACAGCTCAATGCCCTCAGCAAGTGCCAGGTGCCAGCTGCCAAGTCAGAGGGACTCTGGGCCCAGCCCCTCTAAGCCTCCTCTCTGCCTCTACCCCAGTGACCAGAGCCAGTCAGGACAACTCCCACCCCTCCCCCCTTGCAAAAGGCAAAACCCTTTCTCTGCCACAAATCTAGGCAAGGCTCTTACACCTTCTCACTGGTCAGCTGGCCAGCGCACCATAGACACACCTTTTTGGAGCTCCGTTGGTCTTGGGAAAGTGCTGCTGTGGCTGGGATGAGCTGTCTATGGGCTTGGTGAATACTCCCCTACAAGAGAGACCAGAAGATGCTGAGAGGTTGGGGCGGCATGGGCAAGGGGATACAGGCAGGGCTCTGCAGTCACTTACCGGATGATATAGCCAGTGGGAGCCCCTGTACTTGGAGGCCTGCCATGAGAAAAGGAAGTATGAAGTGAAGTGAGGCCTCACTGGAGGGCTCAGATCACCCTACTTCATCATGCTCCCAACTACATCAAAGAGGGATGGCTGGTGGGTGTTCCCGTGTAGCAGAAATGAGGGGAGCCAGTCACAAACACATTCTGAGCTTCAGTGCCCACTCTGCTCTACCTGTTTCCCTCAATCTCCCTCAGGAAGAGTGCCCATGGCTGATTCCTTCATAACCAAGCTCAACATGGCCCTGACTCATGGCAGGTGCACAGTGGCTGGAATGGTGGGGTCAGGTCTACGGGTAATTCAGAGCCCTAACATTCTTCATCCCCACAGACCCTGACTTTGACAGGGGACAGCCTCCCAGAGGCAGCCAAGTTGCAGGAACACTTGGGGTGATACCATTCCAGTCATGCAAACGTTTCTGACTGAAATACTGTGGACTGGGGGAGCTAAGACTGCCTTTGGATGGTCCTCAAACACATGCCAACCCTGTCCACCATACCTATCTCAGTTCACAACTTTCTCTTGGATTTATCTCTTTACTTGGGTTGTGCCTGTGTCTCTTGCAGGGATGTCAGGCCCCTGAAGAGAAGGTCTTGGTTTTGACCACTTCTGTAACCTCTGTTCCCAACATAGGATCTAGCAGTTAGTGGACATTGAGTCATTAGGGATGAAAAGCAAGACCGCAGTTACTGGGGGCTTCCCTGTGGGCCTGCTGCTGCAATCACCTATCCACCACCTATGAAGCCCCCACACTGCACCCACTGCCAACTGCCAGCAGTTTGGAGTGAGGACAAAGCCTGTATTTCACAGTTGCCCTTCTCTTTCAGAAGGAGTTCCTCTAGACCCCCTGCTCTGGGTGTTATTAAGGAAGAGCCCTGCTATTCTGAACTTGGGAGACAGCTGGAGTAAACTCATAAGTCTCCCCTGGCATGCTGAGTGGCAAGTGCACTCGGCAATCAGGGCTAGCTACAGGAGCGAGTCACACTTGACTCCAAAGCTGCCCAAGAGCACTTCAGAGATGTCATCTGATTCTCGGAAGGGGCGATTAGAATCATGATCTTCATAATGGCAATTTCTGTCCTAATTGGCAGCTGGACCATGGAGGCCCAGCAGAGGAGTCAGCTGGTTCCACGGCCTGCCACACAAGGCCAGGATCCTCAGTACCTTTCCCAAGAGGGATTTCAGATGACTCACTGTGGATCTTCCATGTGCCTTCTCAGCTCAGGCTCCCTAAGTGTCCCCTGTGGAGTATCCACCATCCCTTCCGTCCCTTGTGGACTGTTCCCCCTCCCTGATGCAAGGCTGGCCCTTTGCTGCAGGAGAGTCCTTGAGGCCCACCTACAAGCCACCAGGGTACCACCTCTCACCTGGCCTTCGCGATCTCTCCAGCTGATGAAAAGGATGTGGCACGATTCCGGCATGAGGGCAGCTCTCTGTGGAAAAAGGGGTCCTGAAAGAGTGGCTCCCAAGCTCCCTGTCATCTGCTATCCTGTGGCCTCCATCTTAGAGGCTGCCTGCTGAGCCCCACCATTCCTGCATCACCTTCTCCTTCCTGACCTACGTCCATAGGTGCATGGGTCCTCACGTGGCCCAGCACCTGGGAGCTTTGCCACTCTGGGACTTTGTTCAGGCCTTGCCCTCAGCTGGACTACTCCATCCTCCCTAGCTGGCCTGTGGCCAGCCACATGACCTGACTGAGTTCTAAATGGTGGAAGCCCCTCACATCCCCAGGTATGGCTTGGGCCTCTGATTGCACACCCACACCCCGTCATTGCCTTCCATCCTGGCCTCTTGGACTTACATGGTGTGACCCTCCGATTCATCTTGCTTGGTGATCCAGCTCTTGTCACCCTTCAGTGTGGTTCGCACTTTCATCTGCTTGAGGACGTTATTGCGCTCCTCCTCACCTGGTGGCAGAGACTTCCCTGGCAGGGGCAAGACCAAGCAGCCTCAAAAAGAGCAATCCCAGCTCCAGCCCTCCCAATGTGCTGCTCTCCCTCTGCCGCCTGGGACACACCTGTGGCCCTGGGGTGGGGTATGCCTGGAATAAAGCAGGTACACACGGAGCCCAGGCTCACCTTTGGTGCTGCCTCCCAGAGCTGAGATACTCATAGTGCTTTCTCTGCAGGTTCCTTCTCAATTGATTCGGTGGGGCTCCTGGAGACAAAGGCAAGAACATGTTTGTCACTTCATGACTTTGTAATGGCTTGTGGGTCACTGCTATGGTTTGGATGTGGTTTGTTCCCCAAGGGTTCATGTGTTGGAAAGTTGGTACCCAGTGTGGCAATGTTAAGAGGCAGTGGGACCTTTAAGAGGTAAAGCTTAACTGAAGGTAATTAGATCATTGGGGCACATATGTAGGAAGGAAATGATGTAGTTCTTGTGGGACCCTGGTTAGTTCTCACGAGTGGTTTGTTATCAAAGAGTGCGCTGGACCCTGGTCTTTCTCTCGCTTCCCATCTCACCATGTGAGCTCTCCTTCTCACAGGCTATCCTGCCACTGTGATGCCATCAGCCATGAGGTCCTCCTCACCAGAGCCAAGCTGATGCCAGCACCATACCCTTGAGTCTTCAGAACTGTGAACTAAATAAATATCTTTTCTTTATAAAGTTCTCAGTCTCAGGTATTTCATTATAGAAATAGAAAGCAGGCTAACATAATCACCATGTGGTCTCTAGCACAACAAGATCATCCAGAGTTTCCTTTAGGCATTGGGGGTGGCAAAAGTTGTGGGCTCCTGAGTGTAAGACAAAGACCAGGGAATAAACAATCACTGAACCTACCACTGCTGAAATGGCATAACCCACCTGTCTGCCCAGGGCTATTCAACTGGGGAACATGGAGCTCTCGGGTTGGGAGAGACTGCCTGTTCAAGTCAATCACTGATAAGGGCAGACCATGAACCCTGCTAGAGCATACTAATGAACTCTGGCCCCAGGGAATATGGGGAAGAGAGCTGGCAGCAAAGGAGCCTCCATAGTGTCAAAGAGACTGGTATGAGGTTCAGCCAGCATTGATGGATTCAGAGGGTGAGACTGGAGCACATCTTAAGCAGAACACCTTCAGGGCAAGCAGGTGGCCTGAAGGGAAGGCAAGGCCTTAGGGCTAAACCATCTTTCTTACCCCTTAGTAGCTATCTGATGGACCTTTCAGGATTGCTGTGAGGACAGGAAAGGTCACTGGGCAGTTGGACAGAGATCAAGGAGCAGTGAATCTCGACTTGTCTTTGTTGGGAAAGGGACAGTTGGTGGTCTCCAATCAGTGCAGGATGGTATAGGGGTATGCAGTCCTGTCTGGTTTGGGGTTGGCTTCACCTCCTGTGAGGAAAGCCTAGGAACCCACTGCTAACTCCTAGTGGCCCTTAGGATCAGATGAGGCTGAAGATCTGGTCAGAGTCCACATGTGCCTTATGCTCTGCTCTCTCTCCTTGCCTCCTCTCTGACCTGCAAGAGGGGCTGTGAAGGGTGGGCCATGCTGGTCTCAGAAGCCTTCACAGCACCAAGAGGGCTGTTCACCTGCTCTCCAGGCTGGGAGTGGCTCAGAGCTGCAGGAAGACCAGAAGTCTAGGTTGCGGGTCTGGTTGCAGCCCTGAGTGGCCACAGCTGGCATCCTGGGCCAAAAGAGAGGGCCTGGGACGTTTAGGGGTGTTGGAAGGATGGGAAATGGGGCCCTAGCTAGGCTGGCACAGTTCTGAGGTAGAGCAGCCTTTCTATCTAGGGTCTGCCACTCTCTGGGCCCCTCCAGGGCTAGGCTGTGACCTGCTTGCTACTGCTGCCAGCTGGCAAGGCCTTGGCATGTTTCCATGGAAGTCAGGGGCACACAAAAAAGGGGTAGGGCAGGGGGCCAAGACTAAACCAAATAAGCCACGTCAGCAAGAGCTGGCTCTCCCATAAACTGCACAAAACGAGCAGTCCAGGCAGCCTGAGCCTGCTGCGTGCCAGGAATGGTACCTCATCATGAAAGATGGAAGCCCCATGTGCCCAATCCCTGCAATGAAGCTGCCACATCAGAGTCCATTGAGTGGCCCTCATTAGACAGGTGATCTTATGACTATATAGGTCCAAGTGTCTCTACCCTGGCAGCCAGTGGAGTGGCCCCACAGACCAGAGCACACAGATAACAGTCAGCGCCTGTGGGCAAGCGTATGCAGCTTGAGATCTTGGCCCCTTGGTCTACTGATGCTACTGACTGTGAGACCTTGGGAGAGTCTCTTACCTTCTCTGGGCCTCAGCTCCTCACCTGCAAGAGACTCTTACAGTAGTAGGACCAAGTAGGGTCTTTAGGTCCTTCTAGCCTTGCTAAGACATACTTGCTGGTATAGCTTATTTTCTACAGGGCACCTCAAGGACACACTCCTCCTTTTCAGGACTTCGGAGACTACGGGCACTGGTTTCCACACATGAACTTGGAAAGCAGGTGAAGGTAATCCACAGTGCTGGGAGCCCAGGTCCAACACTAGGTAAAGGAACTCATGTTATACCTTGGTAAACCAATGGCTATGTTGCCTCGAAGTTTACTGTCAAATAAGAACCAAATAAGCCACTTCTCAAATCAGGACAGATTCATACATGTGCAGAATGACAGGAGAGAGAGGTCACTGGCAACTCCCAGGCCAAAGGGGTAGGGACACATGCCAGATAAAAATCTGGTCTGGTGTTTTTGCTCCTTTCCCTCAGGCCTAGATGTATCTCAGTAGTCCAAGTTCTTTTTGGACGGGATAATAACTGTGAAAGAGTCAGAAAGATCACTGCCAAAGTAGAATTAAGAATAGGGCAGCTCTTTAGAACAAGGAACCTTTAAAGTGATGAGTCTCAGCCAGGTGGATTGACAAATGGGGTTTGCATTTATATCCCAGCCAGAGAACTGGCATCTCCTGCTTTGCACACTCTCCCCAACCAGCCCCCAGCCTTGGTTTAGGCCAGGATCACTTTTGACCTCCCAGGTCCTCCTGCCTTCATCTGCGCCTCCCTTCCAGCAGCACTCACTGCCCCTTAACCCCGCTTGTCCATATCAGCCCACACTTCTCTGGTCCCCAGTGTTTCTAAGATTGGGGACAAGGCAGCCCCTGTACTACTCTCTTCACCTGGTCTCTTTTCTCACCAACCTCCCTCAATACCAACACTGTGCTCCAAGCAGACCATGTATAGGGCCCCTGGATGGTGGTCCTGTCAAAAGAATCCCTATGCCTTTTTGTATACTGGCCTCCCCGCCTGGAATACCCTCCTAGGTCCTTCTGCCTCTCCCTCATGGCTTAGTCTGTCTAGCCACCCCTGTTCCTTCTGGACACTCCCATCCCTTAAGTCCAACAGCCAGGAACAGACCTGAGTATCTTTTTGATTACTGACCAAATTCTTCCAGAAAAGAAGCTCCCAGAAGCCTCATGAAGGACAGGGCTCAGGCACCCCTCTCACTCTAGCCCAGCCTATCCCACAGTTGCTGGGGAGTAATGGCCTGCACTGACCACTTGTCCTCCAACCCAGATCTCCCCTTAGACCCACCATCCTCTCCCCCTTGTCTGGCTTTTCACAGAGAGCAGGGAAAAGTGGCCCTCCACTCAGTGGCAGCAGGGAATGGCCTTGCCATAACTATGAGCAGCTTTGGAAGATAGATGGTTCGCCACTCAGGAGCAGAGCTCCCGGGCTGCTTGCAAGTGCTGGAAGGTGAACTGGGGCATCTTTTGGGAGGACAAGTCTCTGTAGTTAACAAAAGCTGAAAGGGTAGGCTATGGATTCAGGAGCTTCCCCTGGGCAGTCTAGTCTGCATGGAAGGAAGAGGAAGAGACTGCATGAGTTGAACAGAAGGGGTCATCACAGTGTTGAGTATGATGGTGAAAACTGAGCAATAATCTAAGAGCCAAACAGTCATATTAAACATGGTCCATCCAATCAAACACAAACTGTGCAATTATTTCAAATTGTATATACATATCTGTAGTATTTAACATGCCTTCCTATATAGTCAGCAGGTTCCACATCTACAGAGTCAACCAACCTCAGATCAGAAATACTGAACGAGAAGTATCTGTACTGAGCACGTACAGACTTTTTTCTTGTCAATATTCCCTAAACAACATAGTATAATGACTATCTATATGGCAACACCATTGCGTTATAGAAATCTAGAGATAATTTAAAGTATGTGACAGGATGTTATGTAGAGTTCACAAGCACAGCACGATTTTATACAAGGGATCTGAGCATCTGCAGACTTTAATGCAGGTATGTTGTAGCCTGATTCACACCAAGGTAGCAGCAACAGCAGCAGCAGCAGAAACACCACTGGAAGAAGGAAGGCTTCTTTGCTCAAACATGCAAGGGCCACACTAGGACAGATGTTTGGCCAAATTGGACAAGAGGCCTGCTAAAAGCTCCTCTCCCTCTTTGAGGAGGGAAGAATCACTGACCAAGTTGGGAGGATGCCTCCCTCCGCCCACACACTCAGGGCAGGCTCCCCAGCCCTTGGTAAGTCAGCCAAGGATACAAAGACAACTCCTGCAGTGAGGCTTATGTCCAGGAAGAATAAAGAATATGGCACCTAGACTGATTATTGTCCACGTGTGGGCATGTTGCTCAATACAGTCCTGGATGCTGACTTCTGTTCTCATCTACAGGAGGGAAGGAGAAAGGCGCATGGTCCCAGGGGAACCGAGCAGCATGGATGGGCATGGAAAGTGAATACTCATGGCCCGACAGCTGGTGCCCCACCACCTGCTCTCCCAGCCCTTTTCGTGCAGAAATTAGCAGATGTGGGTTCAGACAGCCTTGGGAAAAGCCTCCAGTCTCCCTCAAGCCTCTCCACCCTCCCCAGGCTGTACCCAGTTCTAAGCCATACTGCAAGAAGACCTGCCACTAGGCCAGGTGGGACCCTGAGAAGTGCTAACAAAGCTGGCCTCCGTCAGAGTGCATCCCGTGAGCCAGGCCAGCACCCTGCACACCCAGTACAGGGATCAGGCACTGACCAGCCGGTAATACACCTGCAATCCCACAGGCAGTAAGTTTATCTTCATCCTCACTTCACCATGACCAAACGAACTCAGGAAGGGTCACTGGCTGACTAGGGGCAACATTCCCAAGGATCTGAGCCCTGAACTATACAGAAGCCCTGCTAACCC